CAGCCTTGATCTCTTGGGCCCAAGTGATCCTCATGCCTAAGCCTCCCAAGTAGCTAGGACTATAGGCATGTGTCACTGCATCTGGCTGATTTTTAATTTTTTTTGGTAGAGATGTAGTCTCACTTGATGTTACGCAGGCTGGTTGCGAACTCTTGACTTCAAGCAGTCCTCCCGCCTTGGCCTCCCATAGTGCTGGGATTACAGACATGAACCACCCTGCCTGCCCCTCACTGACTCTTGGTACTTCCATTTTCCCTCTGCCTTCCCTTCATCTATTTTAGGGAAAGAGGAAATGTTTATTCCACAATTTTGATGGAATCAAAACTGACAATCTCTCTGAGACAAAAGAAAGGGAATGAACATTTTTCAACTGCCTAATAGGTGTCAGGGGCTCTGCTGAGTCTTAAATATCTGCTATCCTATTGAATCGCATGACTACTTATAAGGTGAAGATTCTTATTCCCATACTCCAGATGAAAACAACAAGGCTTTGAGAGCTTCCTCCATTCAGACATCCAGTGGATATTCACCCAGATGTCTATTTTTTCTTCAGGGGGCACAGCTTGAAAACTGCTTACAGAATAGAACTAACTATAGCCAAGGAAAACGTACTGAAAGCAACACAAAACTAATAAAAGTGGCATTGTTTGCCAGTACATTTGAACACAATCACACTTCAAATAATCCCCAGAAGAACATTTCCCATTCCAGGAGGCATGATGTTTATGGAGATGCGATCTCATAGCAGTACAAAAGAAAGGAGGAAACACACAAACACTATTTTTCACTATTAAAAAGAATATACAAAGCACTCACTGGGAAACTAGGTTTTCTGCCACTCTAGTGGCTCCTGGGTTTGCCAGAACAAATTGAGCAGTTTTTCTTTGATTGGGTTTGTCTCAGAGTCCCATCTGCCATCCCTTTCTCCTCCCCCCAATAAAACCAAGTTAGCTTTGGCTGCATTTGACTAGATGGGGAAGGAAGAGCTGCAGAATATGGAGCTCCTGGGTCTGGAGTTAACTTCTGGGTGATCCTGATATTTGAAAGTTGCAGACATAGTAGTCTTTCAACTGCTGCAGCCATTGACTGCTGCATGGCCAGTGGCACACCAGAGGAACTCAGGTTCCGAGGCTGCCCACGGATATCATCTCTTGACAGGCTACCACACCTGGAGCTAGACTGCCTGGGTCTCAACCTCACCTCCACCTCGTTATGGCATGGTGACCTTGGCAAAGTACATAATCTCTCTGTGCCTGCTTTCTTACATGTAAAATGGGGATGGGAATAGCTTCTTTTCCCTGTTGAGATAATTCAAAGATTGAATGCATGTAAAGCATTAAGAATAGTGCCTGACACATAGTTTGTGTTAGGTGGGTAAGTTCCTGTTCAATAAATAATTAAAAGATAAAAATGAATATTGCCATTCATTAAGTAGCTTAAACAAATGGCTCCCTTATATTATTTTGTTAACTGATTTGTACATGCTTACATGTATTAGAAATTCGTAAAAAGTAATTTGTTCAAGACCAGGCGTGGTGGCTCATGCCTGTAATCCCAGCACTTTGGGAGGTCGAGGCGGGCAGACCACTTGAGGCCAGGGGTTCAAGACCAGCTTGGCCAACATGGTGAAACCCCATTTCTACTAAAAATACAAAAATTAGATGGGCGTGGTGGTGCATGCCTGTGGTCCCAGCTATTCAGGAGGCTGAGGCAGGAGAATCACTTGAACCTGGGAGGCGGAGGCTGCAGTGAGCTGAGATCGCACCACTGCACTCGAGCCTGGGTGACAGGGCAAGATTCTGCCTCAAAAAAAAAAAAAAAGAGTAATTTGTTCCACCGGTTTGTGGTTTTTATCAGATAGAATGCAAATAGCTCAAAAGTCCAGAAGGAAGTATCAATAAAGATCTTTTTACAAAAATGGGTTAAAAATGGCCTCTCAATATTGATATTGCCCAAAATGATTGCTGGAAGATTCCACAGCTTTTCGGAAGACATGCACGCTACTATGTATAGGTCTGCTGTCCCAGGCAGATGAGGCAGAAAGAGGAGAAAAATGGCTTTTGCTTTAGACCTCCAGGGAGTGAAGGCATAGACAGGATCAATTGTCCCTGGCCACCTCAAATCCCAACAGAACAAACACTGGCTGGTCTCCGCACTTTGCAAAGAGCTTCTCCCATCTTAGAGCAACAGTTTGGGCTGTTATCCACTTTATAACCATGTTTCTCTTGGGAGAAGCAAAGGCTGGTTTAAATGTATAGATATTAAATATTTATCTGCAAGAAGGACTTTTTTTTTTTTAACGTTCTCCACCCAAGCTTCTCATTTCAAGGCGCAGGCCAGGCGGTACTTTGGCATTCCCCAGGGACACTGTCTGCATGCCCCAGGACTCTCGGACACTGCTGTGTCTATCTCACAGTTCTGAAGGAATACATCATCTGGCAGGGACAGATGGCTTTCTCTGGAAAAAGACCAAGCTTACCCAAATAGTTGTTGCTCTTGTACATCTCCGTGATGTTGATTTTTGTGGCTCCCTGGGGAATCTCCACGACGCGGTGGTAGCCCAGGCTGGTGAGGGCATGCTTAAACACGCCCGACACAACCTGACAGCCCGTGTTGTCTCCTCCACACACCCCACATTTGTCCACGACTTTGTCGGAGCCTAGGTAGTCATCACAGCCAATGCTCTGCGAATAGGCAGAAAACAAAAGACTCTTATAGTATGTATCAGGAGCAGGCAGGAGGAAGGAGGGGAAAAGATCTCTGGGCAAGAAACTTCTTTTCTAGCTATTTATGAAATGTATATTCTAGGAGTGGGGTGGGAGCCACAGACAGTAAACCAGATAAGTAAATAAAAAACAGAGTTTATCTGGTGGTGGTAAATGATCAGGAGAAAAATAACACTGGGGAAAAGACTAGGGAAGATGTAGGGTGCTAGAAATTTACTTAAACAGGTTGTACAGTGAAGTTGTTCTACAAATCCCCATTGGACTCTGGGAGGGGAGAAGATGGTCTGTGCTGGGATTTTTATATAAACAATCTCTCTGGAATCATGACAAGCACCACACCTGAAACTGGGGTTTGCCCCCAAGTCTTCTCATATATGCTACACTTAGCAAAGTATCACCAAAAGTAGTGTTCCCCGGACCAGTTTCTTAGGAAATTGAATTGTTTGGGAGCTGAAACTCTACTGGTAACTGTGGCTCTAGAGGCCTGAGAAACAGGACTTTTTCTTGTTACCCCAGAGCACTTTTCCCAGAGCAGAAGAATGAAGGTAAGCAAGAGCCAGAAACATCAACAAATGGGATCATAACCTGCTAAATCACAGAGTGCTGTTTGTGGAGCCGGTCTCATCAGTGTATAAAGGAATTCTGACTTTCCTGAATTCCCTCCCCCTACAAAAGGAATCTTCCCATTACGCATTCTAGGATCTTTTTGCTTTATCTCTCCCTCCTCATTCATGTTTCCGTTGGGACCATTTTATGTTGCATACAAAAACTAAACTTTGGGCCAGACATGGAGGCTCATGTCTGTAATCTCAGCACTTTAGGAGGCTGAGGCAGGAGGACTGCTTGAGCTCAGGACTTTGAGACCAGCCTGGGCAACACAGTGAGATCTAGTCTCTACAAAAAATAAAAAATTAACCAGGTATGAGGGCACACACCTGTAGTCCCAGCTACTCAGGAGGCTGAGGTGGGAGGAACACTTGAGGCCAGGAGTATGAGGTTACAGTGAGCTATGATTGCATCATTGTACTCTAGCCTGGGCAACATAAAAAACCAAAAACATTCCCCAGGGACACTGTCTGCATGCCCCAGGACTCTCGGACACTGCTGTGTCTATCTCACAGTTCTGAAGGAATACATCATCTGGCAGGGACAGATGGCTTTCTCTGGAAAAAGACCAAGCTTACCCAAATAGTTGTTGCTCTTGTACATCTCCGTGATGTTGATTTTTGTGGCTCCCTGGGGAATCTCCACGACGCGGTGGTAGCCCAGGCTGGTGAGGGCATGCTTAAACACGCCCGACACAACCTGACAGCCCGTGTTGTCTCCTCCACACACCCCACATTTGTCCACGACTTTGTCGGAGCCTAGGTAGTCATCACAGCCAATGCTCTGCGAATAGGCAGAAAACAAAAGACTCTTATAGTATGTATCAGGAGCAGGCAGGAGGAAGGAGGGGAAAAGATCTCTGGGCAAGAAACTTCTTTTCTAGCTATTTATGAAATGTATATTCTAGGAGTGGGGTGGGAGCCACAGACAGTAAACCAGATAAGTAAATAAAAAACAGAGTTTATCTGGTGGTGGTAAATGATCAGGAGAAAAATAACACTGGGGAAAAGACTAGGGAAGATGTAGGGTGCTAGAAATTTACTTAAACAGGTTGTACAGTGAAGTTGTTCTACAAATCCCCATTGGACTCTGGGAGGGGAGAAGATGGTCTGTGCTGGGATTTTTATATAAACAATCTCTCTGGAATCATGACAAGCACCACACCTGAAACTGGGGTTTGCCCCCAAGTCTTCTCATATATGCTACACTTAGCAAAGTATCACCAAAAGTAGTGTTCCCCGGACCAGTTTCTTAGGAAATTGAATTGTTTGGGAGCTGAAACTCTACTGGTAACTGTGGCTCTAGAGGCCTGAGAAACAGGACTTTTTCTTGTTACCCCAGAGCACTTTTCCCAGAGCAGAAGAATGAAGGTAAGCAAGAGCCAGAAACATCAACAAATGGGATCATAACCTGCTAAATCACAGAGTGCTGTTTGTGGAGCCGGTCTCATCAGTGTATAAAGGAATTCTGACTTTCCTGAATTCCCTCCCCCCACAAAAGGAATCTTCCCATTACGCATTCTAGGATCTTTTTGCTTTATCTCTCCCTCCTCATTCATGTTTCCGTTGGGACCATTTTATGTTGCATACAAAAACTAAACTTTGGGCCAGACATGGAGGCTCATGTCTGTAATCTCAGCACTTTAGGAGGCTGAGGCAGGAGGACTGCTTGAGCTCAGGACTTTGAGACCAGCCTGGGCAACACAGTGAGATCTAGTCTCTACAAAAAATAAAAAATTAACCAGGTATGAGGGCACACACCTGTAGTCCCAGCTACTCAGGAGGCTGAGGTGGGAGGAACACTTGAGGCCAGGAGTATGAGGTTACAGTGAGCTATGATTGCATCATTGTACTCTAGCCTGGGCAACAGAGCAGGCCTTATTTTAAAAAACCAAAAATTAAACTTTGGAACAAAATGGAATGATCTTCACAAAATCTTTTTCCACTTCTGCAGCTTTCCACTCCTGACCTCATAAGGCTCAGGATCATGTTTCCTGAATCTAACATTGGGACTCATGTTCTGAACAAAGAATTCTGTCACTTTTCCATGAGCAGATGGAATTGAGTAGATTATGGTTTGGACAATGAAATGTTGTGAGTACAGGATTATTCACTGGGTCATGAGGATATGGAAAGATACTTGAAATCAGAATGGTATTCTAATTCTTGAGACACATGTTCTCCAAATCACAGGCTTGTCTCTTTCTTGCATTCTAACTGCAATAATTAGACCACATCTCAAAGGTAAAGTGATCAGCAACCAGTCAAAGTCCACTTTAGATTTTGTTATGCAACCCTGGGTCTCTTCACGTAGGGTGGGCAGAGTCAAATCAAAAGGTGCTCATTCCTTCCCCTCTAGCTGCATGCCTGATTGAAACCTTTCTGCAGGCACTGCCCTTCTATATTATTGCTTCCATATTCCCAAGTGCACATTGACCCATCAATAATGACTGGTCTCTCTTCACAAATAGCGTCTCTGTAAAACATTACCTCTGACAGTAATAGGACATCATCTCAATATGTTCATCTACATCCAATTAGCCTTTCCAAATGCCATGTTTGCTATGTATTTCTCCTCCCTCAAATCCTTCTCACCCTGCCCCATGCACATTTTAGCAGAAAAAATAAGGAGTATGTTTTCCATGCATGATATCCATAGCCCCACCCCCCTTGAATTCTCCCGTGCTTTGAAACAAAAAAAAAATGTCACCAGCAACAGGGGTTTTGAATAGTAGAACCCATGTTATCAAGGCAAGATTCCAACTGAATCAAGGAGATGCCTCTGACTTCATCAAGGGGGAAGGTGGACAGGAGAGGTGGTCAACACCCATTGCCTGCCTTGTCTAGTGACATATCACACTCCCTCTCTTCCCAGCCTCCAGTTTGTTGCTGCTGCCCCTGGACTCGACTTGTCCAGACTGAGCTCATTCTCATAGGGGTCCTTCTGTTAAAGGGAGCAATGTGTACACAGGTAGGAAAGAACACAGAATGACACGGCTGAAGTGCAAGTCTGCTGGGAGGGATAATACGAGGCTGGAGAGTTCAGCGGAATTTGTCAAGAATCTTGTTTGCCAGATTGAAGAATTAGCTTTTCATCCTATGGCATCAGCAACCCTCAGATGTCTGGAGAAGGGGAGAGCCATGCTCAGACCTGCTTTTCGGTGGTAACAATGGCTGCGGTGCGGAGTGGGCCTCACCTAGGGTGAGGACAATGAAGTGTCCAGTGAGTCTCTCTCCTGTAACTAGGGTGTAGGAGATATTTCAAGAATGAATGAGAGTCGCCAAAGATGGGACAGATGTCACATTAACCACATGAATCCTCAGCTTCAGTCCAGTTAGAATGGAAGTATCACAAGGAAATTACACAAGCATGGACAGCTTCAGATAACCACAGACACAGACAAAATGTCATTTCATCTTGTCAATCAGACATTATATGAAAATGCTCTGCACAATTTGATGGACCCACCCCCACCAGATTTCCTGCACAGCATGGTTGCTCTGGATCAGTCTAGACATGGGAAGGAAAAACTTCAAGAGTTTTTCCTGGTAGATGTCCAAGTAGCCTGGAGATTGGTTTCAGTGAAGCATGTGGCTGCAAAAGGATGCCAAGAACTAAAGATGATAGCCTGTTTCCCCGGATCCATGATCAATGGCTTCCTTAGAACACACTAGGAGCACTCTTCAGTGGTCTAGTGGCTACCCAGGCCTCTAAGAGACTGAGTTCCCATGGAGTTACCAAATATCTCTCCTTTACTTCACAAAGCAAGAGGGACAACTCCAGAATGAGAACTAGGCAGACAACATATATTCAATACCTTAATATATAGCTGAGGCCAAGGGCAAATTACACACATGACAACTGTCCCTTCTCCTGCACAGGGCTGTTGTGAAGATCAGATGATGTAATGAGGGACGATTTGGACTGGATGTCTAGGAGGGCATGGCTGGGGAATGACCTCTGGACTAGGATCTGAATGATATGAAGGACCTGCCATGACAAGATTGAAACACGTAAAGATGTATTTCATCACTGATACTGTTGAGTGACTACACTGAAAAGGTTGCCCGGAAAATCCCAAGGTGAATCAGACACAGGTCCTGACTTTGGGAATCTGAGTCTAACAGGAGCGATCAGACATACACACAGAGAATCACAAGCTATCAGGCAACGAGGAACCCCTGCATGCTCTATGTCATGCTGGACAGGATCAAATCTCCTTTAGAAAGTCGATAATTAACAATTGGGTACATAGAGTCTGGAGGATGTTGCAATATCCCAGCCTGAATGAGCGGAATGGGGATGGTGTGAAGGGATTTGAGAGATGCTTACGATGCAAAATGAACAGGACTTTGTGACTGTCCTCATCCTCCTCCTTGCCATCTTCCTCAACATTATCATGTCTAACATTCATAGTCTTAAACCTTCTAGGTCCTCTGAAACATACATGTTTTTCCATTTAATCCTAAAAAGCCATCTGTGAGATTGCTGAAATTTATAGGAAACTAAGACTTAGAAGAGAGGTTAGGTAATTTGCCCACGGCTAAAATGCTAATAATAGATGGAGCTGGGATTTAAACCCAGGCCCCAAACCAAAGCCTATGTTTTTAACCATTAGGTAAAAGTTTGGAGGTCAAAGGATCAGAGGTCGTGTTGAGGGTTCTAGCTTTGTTGAAGGAGTAGTGGCAGTGACCTAGGTGCAGAGGAACAAGTTCAAAGCATGGTTACCATGAAGACTGGAGACAGCCTGGCCTAGAAGTGACTCTGACTTTCTCCTCTTGCAGGATTATGAGGGACCAACCCCATTATGTATCTCTCTTACACTGGCTCTTTTAACATTATACTTTACACACAGTGTGGGAACACATATTCCAGCCCACCTTCCTATTGCATTACTTTCTTATTGTTATAATGTTTTATTTTGAAATAGTGTAAGACTCAGAAGAAGTTTAAAATGAGTGCAGAGAGTTTCAGTGGTCTTTTACCCAGCTTTCCCTAATGATAATATCTTGCATAAACAAAGCACTTTGTCAAAACTTTGTATGCCATTGACAGAAGTATAATACTATTAACTTAAGGATAGGCCTTGTTTGTATTTGTCATCTTTTAGATGCACTTTTTTTGATGTTTCATGAACTATTATCACATGTATAGATTACGTGCTATGACTTTCTTTAAGGCAGCTGATATTCTCCTCCAAAACACAGCCGTATAATCATTAGGTATAATCATTAGCTGATGTCATTTATCAGGAAAAACAGTTTGTAATAATGGAAAGAATGTTGGGCTGGGAACCAGAAAACCTGGGGTGCAGTCCTGGCCCAGTCCCCGGCTTGCTGTGTGATGCTGGATTGGTCACTTGACTTTGAGGTAGGTGCTGAAAACATTTCCACCACCATCCAGATCTTCTTCCCAAGCACAGTGTTCAGAAACGAATCTGGCCTGAATTCTGGTTTGTGTATCAGGAGGCTGATCAATTGGTCACTGACAGGGAAGACTTAGTGCTGACCTATGTCTAGACTCTTTCAGAGGCACCACTCCAGTGTCATCAGGGGGTGCTTAGGGTGGGCAAGAGAATCTGCGCTCTTGTGCTGTCTGCCGCTGATGAGTGCTGTATCTTTGGACATTCTGATGAGTTGTTCTGAGCCCTGGGATTTTTTTCTGCCTGGATAGGGATGGAGCAGCTACCCCTTAGGACTGTTGGGAAAATCAAATGAGGGAAACACAGAAGGTACTTAGCAGAATGCTGCAATATGGTGGCTTCTCAGAAAATGCTGGGTTTT